GCATCTTGCTGCCTGTATCCTTCCGCATGCATCCTGCTGCCTGCATCTTGCTGCCTGCATCCTGCCACCTGCATCCTTCCGCCTGTATCCTGCTGCCTGCATCCTGCATCTTGCAAGCTGCATCCTGCAAGCTGCATCCCGCTGCTTGCATCCTGCTGCCTGCATCCTGCTGCCTGCATCCTGCTACCTGCATCTTGCTGCCTGCATCCTTCAACCTGCATCCCGCTGCCTGCATCTTGCCGCCTGCATCCTGCCGCCTGCATCCTGCAAGCTGCATCTTGCTTCCTGCATCTTGCTGCCTGCCTCCTGCTGCCTGCATCCTGCTGCCTGTATCCTGCATCGTGCAGCCTGCATCTTGCTGCCTGCATCATGCAAGCTGCATATTGCTGCCTGTATCCTGCCGCCTGCATCTTGCTGCCTGCATCCTGCCGCCTGCATCTTGCTGCCCTCCAGCAGAGCAGAACACACCAACAGCACAACCAGCCTTCACAGTGAGGATGTACCAGAATACTCGGGGAAGCAGATGGACAGCGGAGACTTGTCAATCTTTTTCCCAAACAGGTCCTTCTTGTTGAGGAAGAGGATGATGGAGGTGTCCTTAAACCACTTGTTGTTACAAATGGAGTCAAAGAGCTTCATAGACTCGTGCATGCGGTTCTGTTGGAGAGAGATCGGCACAGTTAAACATGAGCAAACGCCTCGAGACTAAATGAGCACAGACTCCCACTTTGAGGAGCAGGAAGCAGAGCTGCTGCTGTTTTCTGCCCTGAGCGTGTATGGATGAAGGGTTTCTGCTACCAGAGACCTACCAAAGCCCTGCTCTGAGTCCTGAGTCGTTCCAGGAGAGCTTTACGCCACCAGGACACTGCTCAGGTCCAGCCTCTAGGCTGTCAGGCCAGGCTGGACTACATGTATAACACCACAACAATTACCTCCATCCGGCCCACTGTGGACCTGTGGGCCCAGTTCAGGGGGCCCGGCTCCACCAGGTAAAACCAGCTAAAAAAAGCTGCCTTTATACAACATGCAGACCTAAAAGGTTGACAATGGATCCTCTAAGGTGTTTTCCTCATGAGGCTCTTTTTGTTTATGTGGATGACCTCATACTTTAGATTACGGGTCAGCTTCCAAACACAAAACCGTTTGCCTGATAAAGAAACCAGGTTCTCTGACACTGAGTTGAAAGCAGTTTCTCTGGTTCTGAGCTGTTCCTGTCTCATTCGGGATGGGCCGGAGAGGAGCTATGGGAGGAGCTCTGGAGAAGATATGGAGGAGATATGGGCGGAGATATGGAGGAGCTATAGGAGGAACTTTAGAGGATCTATAGAGGAGCTCTAGAGGAGTTATGGAGGAGCCATGGGAGGAGCTCTAGAGGAACTATGGGTGGAGTTATGGGAGGAGCTCTAGTGGAACTATGGAGGAGCTTTAGTAGGAGGTATCGGAGGAGCTAAAGCAATAGGAGGACACACAGCTGGCACTTAGCCTCTGCTTTCAGCTCAGGTGAGTCTGGGACGGGGTCCCGCCGGTCGGGGGTGCCATACCTGTCAGCGGGCGGGGCTTCTGCAGAAGGTCTGCCTGCTGATTGGTTAGAGAGGACAGTCGATGCCGACAGCGACAGGAGAGAAGGAGCCAGAGATGCTGCAGGGCGGAGCTTAGAGCAGGAACAGGAACAGGAAACGCAAGGGACCCGCCCCCCCATCCCAGCCCCCCCCCCCCTCCCACTCACACACTCACACACACACACACAAACGAACACACACCTGAGAGGGCCGCAGCACAGTCATTTCAGGGGGTGTGTTTCAGCTGAGAGAGGAAGGAGCACAAAAAACACATGGCAAGCATCTTAAAGAGGGAGCAGGCAGCGGAGTGTGGAGGAGCTAGAAGCTGGGACATTGCCTCTAAAAGCTCTGAAGCCTGACCCTGAACAGGGTCCCTGAACGCCTCCTGTGCTCCAGGGAAACCTGAGCCACACAAAGTCTGGGTTCACCACCGGAAAGAGCCCTGACAGAAGACATTTCACCACTCCTCTGAAATCCAAAGACAAGGTTCAGCTGTTTTCTAACCAGCTTTTTCTCACCAGAAACAGCCCCATTCTGGAGGCTAAGACACAAACTCCTGTGAGAACATCTGGCTGACAGCTTCTCTGTGGCTCCAGACCTAACTCAGGGATCGTCTCGGGACCACAAACAGAAGCGTCCTGATCTGTGTAAAGTCTGAAAGCTCGGAGCGTGGAGATGAACAGGGCTGCAAACCCTCATGAGGACAACTCCTCCACTTCTGTTTCCTGCTCAGTTTCACCCCTGAAACCCAGGAAAAGAGCCAGAGCGGGCTGAGATCCGGCCTCCTGCTCTGGGAGCCGGTTTTTGCCCCTTGTCTCCATCTGCCTCCAAACCCTGGAAACCCCCCCCCCCCCCCACGATCTGAAAATGTCAGCGCGCTCGGCTGGTCTCAGCTCAGTTCCAGGGACAGACAGCAGCATCCAGGCTGCTCCTGAGCCTGTTCTGGGCCCATTTCCCCTCTTCTGACGCCGCTCGGGCGCTCCCAGCTCAGAGGGAGGCGTGATGACATCTGCATAAATAGAACAGCCACAAAGAACAAGCTGCCACCCTGGAACCCCCCTGAGGAGCCGCTTCTCATGAATGGCAGCACCTGGGGGTGTGATCTTTAGGAAACACCTTATCTCTCCACATATCTGCAGCTTTACCCTCCTGAGTGTCTGTTCTGATGTCAGGATGCTGCATTTCTGTTTCTCTGTACCAGGATCCTCCTTTTTTCTGTGACATTTGACCTCATGGCCTCATAGCAGACACTATTGTTCAAAATCTAAAGGAAAATGCTTTTAGACATTTTACACAAATCATGTTATTGTTGTGGAATTAAAATGTTGTAAATAAGCCATTTGGACCCTCAAAACCAAATAGGAAAAACATTTAATTAAATCTATAAACAGACATTTTAAATCTAAAGATAAACCCACTGAGCCTATATGAAGAAACATTTTTATTAAACTTATTAGCTCCAACTGATCCAGAGATCTGGAAAAAAAGCAGAAATGCACCTTTTTTTTAAGTAAAAAGATATACAAAAATAAAATTAAATGAAATATAAAATAAAATAATAATTTAAAAAAAGGAATAAATAAAATAAAAAAAACATATTAAAAAAATGTTTTAAAAAATGAGAAAAATTGACTTTGACTTTGTTGGAGGAACATGCACGCCAGATAAAAGCTCAGGAGGTTACACTCTCACACGTGCGCTGTTCTGACACGTGCACGTTTGGGATCTGACGGCTTAAAGTGGCAGCCCCGCTGAAGCCTGTCTGGTGTGCACGGAAAACAGCTGCTGTGTGCACAGAGGAGGCTTCTGACTGTGTCTGCTCCTCTGCTGGCCGTGAATCAGCTCTTATTCAACAGGGCCGAGAAGAAGAAGGGATCAAAGTGAGCCTCGTGGTCCTTACCGTGGTCTCGTCCTCGTGCAGCACCTGGTCGTAGCCGCTCAGCGCCACGCAGAAAATGATGGCCGTCACGTCCTCGAAACAGTGGATCCACTTCTTCCTCTCTGACCTCTGGCCTCCCACGTCAAACAGCCTGACGGACACACAGCGGACACAGGTGTCCGTTAGCGACCCTTGTGTTGGCCTCACAGCCCCCTTTGGGGCCCCCGAGGGCAGCTCGGCCCTCAGTGTGAACAGGTAACAGCATCGTTATGAAACACATACGGCAACAGCTCTGCGAAAAGGCTCTCAGAGTTGCTGGAGGCCATGCGGAACCGATATGGCCAATCATTTCCATGTCTTTTGGGCTCGGAGGAAAGAAAGCATTGATGGGGGTGAAATTAGACTGTTAGACTCCATTATTTTATTCCTTTGTACCTTGTAAAATACCAGAATCTATCCCACACTAACACAAATACCTCTTATAGATTCTTTTGGCTTGTGGTAGAAAGGCTGTAACTCCAAGATGGCTCCAAACTGACCCCCCAACATGGCCAGTGGAGGGGGATTGTAAAAGAAATGTACTGTGCGCAGAGGCTGACTTTTATTTTAAGATTGGAGTTGGAGAAATGTGTTGACCGTTGGGGAAAATGGACTATTTATGCCTGGAAGAGTGTGACACTATAGTGTCATACCCATGAGAATGTTCTGTCTTTTTTCTGCTCAAAATAAAAAAAAGCTAAAAAAAACAAAAGCGCCCAGCTGAGCACCGGCCGTGCACGTGAGAGTGTGCACGGCCGCACGCGCACGGGCAGCCGCAGGCGTTGTGAGCAGCAGAACTCCAGACAGGGAATATAATGATTTACCCTCCTGGGAGCCTGTTCCTCCTCTGAGGATGCTGCATTTCTGCCTGCATTTCTCTTAGCTTCTCTTAGCTCAGCTTAGTTTAGTTTAAGCTTGTTTTAGCCTAAATTATCTTAGTTTGTCTTATCTTAGCTCATTTTAGCTTAGTTTATATTAGCTTAGTTTAGCTTTCTCTGGGAATGTCCCTCCACTGGGTCTACTTTACCCTCCTGATTTCCTGTTCTGATGTGAGGGCGCTGCATTTCAGCCTCTCTGAACCAGGATCCTTCTTTTTTCTTCTATCAGACACTAACGTGTGAGGATCCTGATCTTTGACTTTTGACCTTTTGGCCACATAGCAAACACTATCGGACACTACAGTTTGAAATCTAAAGGAAAATGGTTTTGGATATGCTGGATATCCCATGTGACCTGAGAAAGGAGAGGATACTGTGGGTAATCCATTTAAATGAGGAGGAACATCTGTGTGGGGAATTCTGTATTGAAAAATCATCAGCTTTTTAGGTCTTTAGATGAAGGAAAATTCATTTAAAAATCAGCTTTTTAGGTCTTTAGATTGATGAAAATGATTGAAAAATAAGCCTTTTAAGTCTTTAGATGAAGGGAAATAATAAGACCCAGTTATGACCCAGTTAGGAACCAGTTAGGACCCAGTTAGGACCCAGTTAGGAACCGGTTAGGACCCGTTTATGACCAGGTTAGGACCCAGTTAGGACCCGTTTATGACCCGGTTAGGACCCAGTTAGGATCCATATATGACCCGGTTATGACCCAGTTAGGACCCAGTTAGGACCCAGTTAGGACCCAGTTAGGACCCGTTTATGACCCGATTAGGACCCGGTTTCAGATAAGGGACCCAGAACCTATCAGCTCCTCTTATTAGACTCGTCCTCTCTGTTCTGCCGCTCCCACCACACCGCCCTCTGTCATCATTCCCCTGGCCCCCTCTTCTAATTGAATCCAACCTCATTAAAAAGACACAGACTCATAAATACAGACTCTTGTTTAAGCCGTCCCGTCTGTTTAATTACAGGCTTGCAGCTCTCTGCTCAGACTCGGAGAAAAAAGGGGCCGCGCTGACCTGAAGTGAAGGTTTTTGAAGGTGAAGTGTGTCTCCACGATGCCGGTGGTCTTCACCCGGGTCCTCAGGATGTCCTGCTCTGTGGGCTGGTAGTCCGGCGCCCCGATCCGGTCTAGGCTGTCCAAGTAGCTGCAGGGAGACAGAACACATGTTAGCAGGCCCCATCAGTTCCCCCACACAGGCCCCTGTGTGCATCCAGACACAAGATCCAGAGTCCTACACAGATCCAGGATCATGAGTCCATCCAGATCCAGGACCCAGAGTCTATCCAGAGTCCAGGATCCAGAGTCCAGAGTCCTGTCTGGTTCCAGAGTTTTTTTGCATGTCAGATCCCTTCTAGTGTCTCTCGGTCTGATTTTGTAAATCTTGTCTTGTCTTGATTTGGTTTCCTCCAACAGAGAGTTTTGGTTTTGATAGGCCTCACAGTTTTTCCTGCTAGTAGTGATTTTCTGTTGTGTTGTTTCATAGCTCAGTGCTTCCTCTGCTTTCTGGAGTGATTATTATTTCGTCCTAGTGTTTATAGTTTATTTCCCCTTCAATTAGCAGAGGGATCTTTTGTTAATAAATAACCTTTATAGCCTTGTTTTGCCTCTGTTAAAGGAGTGATTTTCAGTTCTGTAAACTTCATAGTTTGGAGGTCTGAGCTATGAAGCTTTTGGAGGGTTTTACTGTAACTTTGGGTTGTAACTTTTCCTAGACTGTTTATTTTTCTCTTCCGTGGAGAACTGATCAATAAAGGGAAAAGCACAGTTGTGGTGGACATCCAGAGGAGGAAAGAGAGCAGAAATTCACATGAAAATGGGCGCTGAGGCCTGGAAAAAAAGGCTCCTGGGTAAAGAAAGTCAACATTTCCCAGACAGCTCTGCAAATTTATTTTAAAAAAGCAGTTTTCTTGACGGCAGGGGTCCAGTTTTCCTGATTTCAGCCATAAAATCCAGGCAGATTTCACCCTCTGAGCATTCCTAAACAGATTCCACGCCTCTAAACTCAGATTTTTTTCTGTTTTTATGAAAGAAAATGCTGTTAAGGATCAAAATCAGGGCTTTCCGGTCAAATCAGAGACATGAAAGGTTCGGCTTTGGTGTGGAGGCTTCTTAGTTGGACCGGCGGACGCAGCAGCAATGCATTGTGGGAGAGGGTGTGCATCTGATTCCATTTTCGGCCGAGAATTCAGCTGCATGTGATCTTTTTCTTCTCAGCTGAGCCGACAGGCTGCCGGAGCTCGGCGCTGTTGCCTGGCAACCGGCTCTTGGATGGCGCGGACGTCTTCCCTGCTGCGATTTCCCCGACACAAATTTACAGCTGGCAGCTTGTGGGGAAGCAGCAGCGACTCAGCGGAGCGTCGAAAAGCTGGAAACGGCTCAGAGAGGAGCAGGGAGCTGCTCCGGTCCTGAGGCTGGGGGGGGGGGGGGGGGGGGGGGGGGGGGGGGGGGCTGACAGCTCCGAGCATGTCCAGCGTCCGTTTATGACAGTTTTACAGTGCTGCCGTGGAGGGGCGTGCACGTGAAGTGCTCGTGCACGTGATGCGGTGGTGCTCCTAATGTATGGATGCAAGTCCCAGAGCGCTTCACAGGAAATGGGTCAGCACACTGAGGGCTGAGAGGGGCTCCAGGCAGAGCGGCGCTCTGCTTTCTATGGAAGAAAAACACATCACACGCCTGCCTGGTCACCAGCGCACACACGTGCACGCCCTGACGTGCACGCCCTGACGTGCACGACGCTCCTGCTGAAATACATCTGCATGAAGTTCCAGATCATAATGAAATCAAGAATAATTGTTAATATTATAATAATTATGATCAGTTATGTGTATAAATATATTAATAATTTCTAATATTTAAACATATGTATAATATTGATAATAATCTTAAATCATATAATAATAATAATATCATAAATAATAATATTATTTCATTATTCTCATTAACCTCCTGAGAGCCAAAACCTTTTATTTCTGCTTTGTTCCAGATCTCTGGATCAGTAGGAGCTGATAAGTTTAATAAGTAGACTTTGTCCTGGTACAGGTAATTTTTCTTCATATAGGCTCAGTGGATTTATCTTTAGATTTAAGATATCTGTTTTGAGATTTGAATCAAGTGTTTTTACTATTTCGTTCTGAGGGTCCAAATTACTTATTTTGATTCCACAATAAGAACCTGATTGGTGTAAGATGTCTAAAAGCATTTTCCTATGAGGCCAAGAGGTCAAAGGTCAAAGAAAAAAAGAAGCATCCTGGTTCAGAGAAACAGGAGAACAGGCTCTCAGGAGGGTAACGGTCAGGAGGGGGGGGCCTGTAGGAGGCCGGAGGACGCGGGTCTGGACTTACTACTGCGCCGAGTCGTTGAGCTGGTACTCCCGGGCCCGGCTGAAGCACTCCTGGATGCCCGAGTCGGACCACAGGCGCATCATGGCGCCCAGCAGCTCGGCGGAGAAGGGCTCTGTGTCCTCCATGCGGCTGACCACGTCGCACACCATCTTGGCATCGGCCTGAGGGAGGAGAGAGGTAGAGATGTGAGCAGGATCTCCCCACAGCTAAACGCCTCTAAGACAAGTCTCTGAGAGATCTGGAGAGAGACCATGGCAGCACTATGGGAGGAGGGACAGGCATGAGGCGTTCTCTGTCTCTCTGGAAAACCCAGAGGGGGGACAGAGAGGTCCAGGGCCTCCGTTTGCCTTCTCTATCACCTACCGCCTGCTTTTTACTTCA